GTGAATGCAGGTGCTGGAAAAAGCCAGAGGCATCAGCTCCTCTTGGAACTGGAGTTATAGGCAGTTGTGAGCTGCCTGATTTGGGTTCTGGGAATTGAATTTAGGTCCTCTGCAAGAGCAGTATGAGCTCTTAACCACTGAGCCATTTCTCCAGTTTCTTATCTCCTTCCGCCACAAACAGAGTTTCTCTATGTAGCTCTGGCTGTTCTGGAACTACATCTTTAGATGGCCTCCAACTCAAGGACTCACTTGCCTCTGACTCCTGAGTGCTGGGATTAAAGGTGTGTGCCATCACCACCAGGCTTTCTGCAGCTTCTTACGGACACGTTTACCTCCAAGCACTGAACTAGTTGTTACTATATCTCTTCTTCCCGGACCTTTGGTCTATGGGAAATCTCCACATTGTTACTCAGATTCATAAAGATAGAGGGGCTAAAGAGATGTCTCTGCTCGGTGGTAAGGGCACTGGTGGCTTTTGCAGAGGACTCGGATTTGATTCCCAGCACCCACATGGTGGCTTACAACTGTTGGTAATTCCAGTTCCAAAGGGCCCAAAGTCCTGGGCCCTGCATGAGCGTGGTGTACAGATGTACAGGCAGACGAAATACCCAAGTGAATAAGTAAGCTATTTCCATGGGAGGCTGTAGTTGATTGAAATTGTGAAGGTTTTAGCTGGACAGTGGTGGTGCATACCTTTAACCCCAGCATATGGGAGGCAGAGGCAAGCAAGCAGATCTCTGTGAATGAGTTTGAGACCTGCCTGGTCTACAGAGAGAATTCCAGGACAGCCCTGGAACTGTAGCTCAGGCTACCGAGAAATTAACTTAAAAACTGAAACCCCCCCCCAATCCAAACTGAACCAACGAAACAAAAAAAATTGTAAAGGCTTTCGATTGCTTTAAGCATAGTAATGGTTCAATATTGTAGTTAATTTTAGAGAAATTTCTTATAAGAAAGTTATTGTGAGGGGTAATTATTGACTGAACCAACGAAACAAAAAAAATTGTAAAGGCTTTCGATTGCTTTAAGGATAGTAATGGTTCAATATTGTAGTTAATTTTAGAGAACTTTCTTATAAGAAAGTTATTGTGAGGGGTAATTATTTATTAGCCATCTTTAAATTTTTTGTTTAGGCTCATGAGTGGAACACAGAGAGAATAAGACTCTTACTATTAAAAAAATTCTTTTCATAACTTGTTTGCTTTTTCCTTACTTCTAAGAACACCTCCACCCTTTGAAATCCTTCCCTTGCCCCTCTGAAATCCTGATCTGGAACTTGATTCAAACTAAAACTTAATTGCTTGTGTATGTTGTAGCCATTGTGCAATGGAAGGTTAGGATCCATTGGGAGGGGAGATAGTAAAATGTAGGAGGCTGTAAACAGTTTTGATTTTTAAAAAGGAAACAACAGAAAAATATGTGAATTTATGTGTAAAATGAACTCTCTTGAACTGGTTAAAAAAAAAAAAAAAACAACAGCAATAAACAAACAAAAACCCCAAACTCAAAATCACTTAAATAATTTATTAGCTTGTTAGGTTTGTTTTGTTTTCTTATTTTTAAACTAAAGATGTATTTATTTTTATTATTTTAAATTGTATGTAGGTTTGTGTGTCGGTGAATGATATGTGCACTTGAGTACAGTTGTCCAAAGAGGCCAGAGGAGTCAGATCCCCTGGTGCTAGAGTTACAGATGGTTGTGAGATGAGGTAGCTCTTCTTTGTTGTCAACCTGACTACATCTGGAATAAACTACCATCCAGAAATAAAGGGCACACCTGGGAGATTTTCTGCTTGTTTGAAGTAGGTGAATCCAGTTCTAGTTCAGACCTTTTAAGTAGGAATATACACATCTTTGATGCAGATCTTGAGGCAGAAAGACACATGCCTTTAATTAAAATATCTATCTATCTATCTATCTATCTATCTATCTATCTATCTATGTGTCTATCATCCATCATCTATTCATCTATCATCTATCTATCTACCTATCATCCATCATCTATCTATCTATCTATCTATCTATCTATCTATCTAGATTCATTCCATAAGTTCTGTGACTCTAGAGAGCCCTGACTAACACATGAGTCAACTGAAGTGGGTGCTGGGAAATGAACCCTGATCCTTTAAAAGGACAATACGTACTCTTAGGTGTGGAGCATCTCTCCACCCCCTTGCTTTTTTTTTATTTTTTAGAGACAGGGTTTCTCTGTGTAGCTTTAGAGCCTATCCTGGCACTCGCTCTGGAGACCAGGCTGGCCTCGAACTCACAGAGATCCGCCTGCCTCTGCCTTCTGAGCGCTGGGATTAAAGGCGTGCGCCCCCAATGCCCATCTGCTTTTTTTTTTTTTTAATGTGGCTCATTATTCCTAGTTAAGAGAGGCTGTCACCTCATGCATCAGCTAGGGCTGTACAGTGTGTAGAACTTGAATGTGGTATGACTGCCCTTGATTAGTTGTTTGTAGGCTTAATCAACAAATTTTGTTTTCTGAGGAGGAGCGTGGGGCAGGGGTTGTGCATGCTAGCTTGGCAAGTTTTCTATCACTGAGCCACACCCCCAGACTTTTAAAAAGTTTAAAGCATTTGAAACTTACTAGGTATGCGTGTGCACATGCATCCATGTACAGAGGTCAGAGAACATCTCTTTGGAGTTGGCTCTCTACTTTGACTTTTGCATGGGATCCAGCTATCAAATTCAGGTAGCCAGACTTGGTGGCAAGTGCTTTTACCTGCTGAGCCATGGCACTGGCCCTGCTATATTTTCTTAACGAATGGTATAATTGTACCTAATTGTTATAATACCTTGGGCCAAGACCAGGCCCTTTAAACTGTGCCTTCTTCTGTGCCTCTTTCTTGGCTGTGAAGGCAAGTCAGCCTCTGATAACATTGTCTCTTCACTTGGGCATATGCGATAACTAAAATGCTCAAGGCTGGAGTCAGATGAGAATCACTGTGGTAAACCTGCATTCACCTTGGATTCTGGAAACAGTACAGTCTAGCAGGGCAGGCGAGGGCAGTAATCTGATGGTGAAGCTGTATCCTGGAGTAGGGGCAATCATTAAAGGGGAAACAGATGGTTCTCCTCCAGCAGTGATAGCAATAACGTCATTGGACCAGAACTGACATTATGGCCAGCCAGACCACTCTTGTACCTCTTGCTCACTGCCCCAGTTCTACAGATCCCTGGACCCCTCTGCTGTTTCTGTTCCTGATGGAAGAAGTGATTGAGTCCCTTGGCTCTGCTTTTTGCTACTACACATCTCTTCAGTTGGAGTTTTAGGATGGTTTAATTTTAGGGAGAAAGTCCCCAGCTCCAGGCACCCCAACAGGCTAGGGTGCCTGGAGCTGGAGGCTTTCTCCCTAAAATTATGGTAACAGGTTTGCTCCTAACAGAAGGCCTTGGAAGCCAGGACTTACTTGAAAAATCTCCAGCTGCCCTGCTTTCATATCAGTTACATTTGTTAATATTCTGCTTCCTCTGGTCATCAACCATGTTCAAAGTCACACTTTTCTCCTAAGTCTGCATAGAAGCATTATGATTTTTAAAAAATTATTTATTTTTATTTTATGTGCATTGGTGTTTTACCTGCATGTATGTCTGTGTGAGGTTGTCAGATCTTGGAGTTACGGACTGTTGTGAGCTGCCATGTGAGTGCTGGGAATTGAACCTGGGTCCTCTGGAAGAGCAGTCAGTGCCCTTACCCTCCAAGCCATCTCTCCAGCCCCTAGAAGCATTATGCTTCTCCTACTTTTTCTGAAGCTCATGATTGCTTCCATTTATCATTTTTACAGAGAAGAATTCTATATAACTGATGTTTGCCAAAAGGTAGGAAGGAGTGCACTGGACTCTTGGATCCTATGCCATCTACTTGGTAGCTCCTGAGATAAAGAGTGTATCCCCCAGAATAGATATTGGTTTCTGACCAGGTATGTGATATAGAAAGTTCCATTTCTGTGGAGAATGAACTGCCTCTGGGCTTCCATCTGCATCCTGTCCACAGAGTTAACCTCACACAGTGCCATGTAACACGACTGCCCAATTACTTCTAGCCCTGTGGAGTACTGTGGATTTGGGCTAGAAGAGAATGGGGTTGGTATGGAGTAGGTGGTTTTCTAACACACAGCTGGGAAGAGGAAGCCGAGAAGAGGTTTGTGTGGCATCTAGCTGACAGTCATTTCTTGATTCAGAAATGTTTGGGATTCTAGGTGTTTCTGTACGTTGTCTGTTTTCCGTATTATCACAAATTAAGTGATACACCTGCCATTATAGTTAATTTAATAGGAAGTTGGGAGAAGTCACCCCAGAAATTTATTCAGATAATGATTGTTAAATCCAGAAGGGATAAAGGCAGTGACACACACCTTTAATCCCAACACTGGGGAGTCAGGGGCCGGCGGATCTCTGTGAGTTCAAGGCCAGCATGGTCTACAGAGCTAGTTCCAGGACAGCCAGGGCTACACAGAGAAATCCTGTCTTGAAAACAAAACAAAACAAAACAAACAAAAATCCAGAAGAGATGTTCCTTTAAGCTTCTTAGAGTGAAACCTTTTCTTTTTATTGGATCAGCTTACTATTTTTCAGTTATTTTTTTCTTTAGAAACAGGCCTTACTGTAGTTCTGGCTGGTCTAGAACTCCCTATGTAGACCAGGCTGTCCATCTCTCAGAGATCCTCCTGCCTCTGCTTCCTGAGTGCTGGCACCATACCTGGCTCTATCATATTCATAAAATTGCTCACCATCTCCCCTCTTGGACTTTGAACTGTATTTTTATCTTGTTAAAATAAAATAACTCATTTTTTCAGGTAGGGAAATAGAATCTTGCTGAAGTCTCACAGTTGGCTTTTAATAAAGCTGAGATTTAGATCACATACCACATTTTTTTTTATATATATTATGTAGCCTGAGAATTTGGAGAACAAAGCATTGAAAGCAAGTAATTATGTAGGATTTCGGCTCCATGTTATACAAGCTGTCATGCTGTATTTTAATTATATCTGCAGGTGAAGAGCTCTTAAACTTCATGTGGAGATGGCAGCTCCCGAGTTCACCGTCAGTGCCCTGGTGTTTGTGTTGCTCATTTGTTCTGTGGCTGGTTACCCCAGTGGAAAAGTAGTAATGTCCTGTGGTGGGATGATCCCCCAACATGGCCACAGGCCACAGTCCGAGCCTGTTCACCAAATCACAGTGAGTCAGATGAAGTTCAAACCTGGAGACCAGATCCAAGGTATTGGTGCTGGGTATATGGATTTGCATTTTGAGTTCAACTCTTTTTCTGCTTGTTGAATTTTTAATGTGACTGGAATGAAACAATTTCATTTTAATCCATTCACTGGCATTATCTACTTTCATTTTTTCTTTACTACAGATGCCTATATTATGTAGATAGCATCTATTCCTTATTAAGAATAAGGTCTAAAATAAATTTTCTTTTAGGATACTAAGGAATATATTTGTTTTATTATATTAGCATTGCATTCATTGTCTAATGTATCTTGAACACTATTAACTCAATTGAACAGGAAAAATGATTTTATATTGTTTTACCCCCCCCCCCAATTTTAAAAAGCAATCTCTTATGTGTCCCTGATTCTTCTGGCAAAATGTAGGCTGAATATTAGGTTTATCTATAAAAACCTAATATTTTATATAACTGGTATTCCAGCACTCTGGAGGCTGAGGAAGGATCGGAGTTTGAGGCAGCTTGGACTATATAGCAAGACTCTGTCTCAGAAAAACAAAAAGTATATCTGTCGTAGCATTTGAAATTGCTGTATTTTGCAATAATAGAAATACATAATGTTAATAGGATTTTTTGTTTGATTTTTTTGAGACATGGATTTTCTCTGTAACCACCCTGGCTGTCCTGTAACTTGCTCTGTAGACTAGGCTGGCCTCAAATTCACAGATCCACCTGCCTCTGTCTTCTGAGTGCTGGAATTAAAGGCGAGCATCACCACTGCCTGGCTTGTAGTAGAAGTTCTTAACAAAAAGGATGCACAAAGAAATAAACATGGAATTCCATGTGTGCTTTAAACATCTCTTAGAATTTTAGAATTTTACTCTGCACAATAGAGTACTAAAGATGGTCAGATTTGTAATTAAAAAACATGTTCTTTTTTCATCTAGAATTTTCTAAATTAACTTTTCCTATAGACTATTATCTAGTCATCAACCGTGCTTTTATACCCTCTTGTGGAATGGTTATCAATATTTTATGGTGCTCAGTAGGCTGAGACAAGATGATTTTAAGTTCAAGGCCAGCCTGTGATACAGAATGAATTCAAGACTAGTCTGGGTAACTTACTGAAACTCTGTTTCAAAATAAAAAACTAAAGGAGGGTTGAAGATGTAGTTCCATGGTGGAGAGGTTGCCTAACGTGTGAGGTCCCAGGTTCAATATCTAGTTCTGTAGAATAAACAACCAAGCCGCCTGAAACAAAACAACAAGCCTCCCAAAACATGGCTTGCATGTTCTAGGGAACATATTTAGACATTTTCCTGCAGGGTGATTTCTGTCCTTTGTGTTTTTTAGAGATACACCCTATTCTAACTAAATGAGCTCCTTCTAAACGCTTTCCTGGAATATTACTAAATCTTTTACCCTAACCTCTTTTGTTATCTGTTGCTCAGTCACTTTATCAGGGCCTCAGTTTAGAGGCTTTCTCTTAGAAGCTCGTGATGCCGAGGATCTGAGTGGCCCTCCTGTTGGCTCCTTCACACTGATTGACAGTGAAGTGTCGCAGCTTCTGACTTGTGAAGATGTGCAGGTTTGTGTGCAATTTGAAGTTGATTTCTGTTGGTTCCTTTGGGCCGTTTTTAACTCGAGGGTGGTGACTAGCTCGGCAATGGCATCACCATGTGTAGTAGGAATTTGAACAGATTTACAGTCATTAAACCTGACCCCTGGTTTACTTAGCAACATTTAGGAATGGAAGAGTAATAGCTTGAGTTTATACTTGGTGGTGTTTATATTGCATTGGCAAATATTGACTTAAAATGTAAGACAATTACACGCCTTTAATCTAAGCACTTGGGAGACAGGGGCAGGCGGTTCTATGAATTTGAGGCCAGCCTGGTCTACAGAGAAAGTTCCAGGAAAGCCAGGGTGATTGCACAGGGAAACCCTGTCTCAAACAAACAAACAAAAATTTAAAGGCAAATTTGTGTGTGCATGTATGTGTGTGTGTCTGTCAAACAAACAAACAAAAATTTAAAGGCAAATTTGTGTGTGCATGTATGTATGTGTGCCTGTGTGTAGGAGGAGGAATAGCAGGGGGCATGCCATCATACATGTATGGGAGTCAGAAGACAACTTAGAGGACTCAGCTCTCTCCTTCCCTCTTTTCATGTGCTCTGCTAATCAAACTCAAGTGTCAGACTTGTGTCAGTGGACACCAAGTGCCTTTAACTGCAGAACCATCTTACTGGCCCCTAGTGTATTAATTTTTAAATGATTTCAGTATTGAAGGCCCAGTGTACTGATTTTTAAATGATTTCAGTATTGAGGAGGCAGTTTTAGAATGGGACAGGGGTATAAGGTTTGACATTCATTCATTCATTCATTCATTCATTCAACATTGTATCAGGAGCTTTGCTGAATGCCAGAGATAGGGTAACAAAGAAAACTTTCTCCCATTCCTTGAAAAACTCAAACTCTTATGCAGAGTAGAGAGCTCATGGACACAGGATAGCTGGCACAAGGGGATGGCACGTGAACTTAGGACAGACACATAAGTAGAGTAGTATGAAAACTTAGGTGGGAGTTGGTACAGAGTCAGTTGGGAATTGTAGCAGAGGAAGTCACAGATCAGAGCAGGTGAATTCTAAGTGAGGCTTTGAAGAATGTGTAGGAGTTTGCCAGGTGAGAGAAAGTGAGAACAGGACTGTTTAAAAGTAGGAATTGCTACAACAGGATACATGTTTGGAGGTATGAAATTATTTTTTGAGGAATCTTCTTTACTTTATTCATGTCTACTAATGGAAGCAATATAATTTAAAGTGTAAAATAAGACAAAAAACAACCTTCAAATAACATGAACACACCCAATATTCATGGCTTTCTTCCTTATTTAAGTTTCTGATGACTTTTTTTTTGTTTGGATCAAACCACTAGGATTTATTTAAAAAATAAAATAATACAATGCTATAAAACCAGCAAGAAGGCCTGAATCCAAAGTTTTTCCTCTAATAATACCAAAGTCACAAATTATTATACAAATGTGTACAAATCTTTAATACAAATACAACAGGGCTAGATTTCAGAGGAAAACAAACAGGAAAAAGCCAGTTCTCATCAGGAGTTCCCTGCTGTCTGTAGCAATGGCAACAGGACTGGCTGCTTCCTGTACTATGTGTGTGTGTTCTTGGCCTCTCCTTCATACCCTGTTTCTCAAAGGAAACTTCTGCAGGTTCAAACGAGGTTCTGATCCGTTAGCTGCAATTTAATTTGTGCTCTTCTTGACTTTAGTTCCCACATATTCCTGTTTCTTTCTCCATTAAATCTCAGAACTTCTCTGAGTTGATGACTTAATTTATCACAGAACTGATAAACGTGACTGATACTACATCATCAACCAATGGGTATGAATTTACCGAGGGCCTGGCCTTGTTCTATGTAGAATAGTCTTCATCCAAATGCTCCGATCCTAGAGTGATTATTTATTTTGCAAATGATTGCACTCTGACCATGCTGAGTTCTCCAGTGATGGGACGGTTGTTCTTTTCCATTTTATTTCAGGGTTCAGCCGTGAGTCATACGTCTCCATCCAAGAAGACAGAAATTAAAGTCTACTGGAATGCTCCAAGCAGTGCCCCAAACCACATACAGTTTCTGTGAGTATGAGAGCGCACATCTCTGTAACCACTGCCGTTGAGATGGAAACCATAATGACGGGTACTGCTTTGCCATTGACTGTTCACCTGTGTAGAAGAGCTTTAGCAGTTACAGTCTACTGACAGAAGACTAGTCTTGCTTTTTTCCTTTGTTGTTATTTGAGACAGCACCTGGCTATGCAGCATTGGATGACCAGGAACTCTCTATGTAGATGAGGCTGGTCTTGGCCTTGAACTTGTAGCACTCCTCTTGCTTCTGACTCCCAAATGGACCTGACCCCACCCCCTTCCTTTCTTTCAACAACAAACTTCTAGCACATAGCCCAGGACTTTGCACTGTATTCTTTTAAAGCCTCTTCCTGCTTTATCCTCCTACATGCTCCAATTACAGGCATGCACCAACAAGATTGGCAGGACTTGGTATTAAAGGGGCATTTACTAGACATTGTTGAGTGAGTGAAGTATTACACTGCTGTAGGACTCATATGAGCCATCAATTAGTACTTGAGTATGTGGTGTGCAGAGTAATACTGCCTGTTTTAGTATGAGAGTATAAATAAGAAAGTGCTGAAAGTAGGGTGACTTCTTTGGCAGCACTACAACTTATAGATAGCTTATCAGATAAGAAAATAACTCACTGCCTGCCTCTTGGAATTGTGAAACCAGAATTACGACTTCGCCCTTTTCCTGTTCATCTGCACAAGGCAGAATGGAATGTTGTAAAGCCACGTAATGATTCCTGAGGGGTGTCCCAGACATATGTATACCTTATAGGAGAGAATCTTCTCTGGGACAGTTTCTCTTTTCTGCCTAACTTTGTCTAAGGCCTCCAAGCACACTGGAGCACTGCTTTGCCCCTGTGTGTTAGTTGCTAAGTGGACCTCAGTGAGCACTTAGGTTTAGGCAGTCGCTACGAAGTTTCGAACCGTGGCTGCCTCTTACACATGCCCTCTGGAGGAGTGTGACTAGTGCACTGTGAAACGACTAGGAGTGTGCTCTAGGCAGGGAACAGAAACCTATAGAGTTGAGTTGTACAACCCAGCGTTAGTGGGCGCCATTAACAGAAGAACATACAACAAAGACAAGAGGGGCCCGGCGTTGGTGGCGCACGCCTTTAATCCCAGTACTCAGGAGGCAGAGGCAGGAAGATATCTATGAGTTCGAGGCCAGCCTGGTCTCCAGAGTGAGTGCCAGGATAGGGAAAAACACTATTTAAAAAAAAAAAAAAAAAAAAAAAAAAAAAAAGAAGGGAGAGAGGGAAAGAGAACAATAAACCTCTATCTAGTATTGGGTGAAGGACAGTCATAAGAGATTTGCCCCCCACACGTGTGTTCTTCATCCATCTCTCCTCACACATTTTTTCACTTAAAGTTGATTTGCTTATGATGGGCTGGGTTTTTGTCTAATTTCTTTGGTACTCTATTTCAGAGTCACAGTTGTTGAGAAGTATAAAATCTACTGGGTGAAGATTCCTAGTCACATAATTTCACAACCAAATGCTCCTACCTTCACGACGCCTAAAGCTACAACACAACCTATGACAACCTCACCTTCTGTCTCCCAGTTAACCAAGCCAGTGAGTAACGCTTCTGTACCGTCAGCAAATGCAATTGAGAGTGGCTTTTCTGGCAGCTGGTCCTGTGGTTGGTGTTAGCTGTCCTGCCATGTGGGAGGGAGTTTTTGGGGTTCTCTACAGAAATCTCTACAAGAAGTCTCCATTGCAGCATTATGATTTGTAGGTTTGAGTAATGGACGTAAAAGATTCTCCATTTAAAGTATAGTTGCAATATTCACAGGTAATTTTGCTAACAAGGAGTGTGTGTTCATTTGGAAATGAAGCCAAGAAAGCTCCCCCTTCCCTTCCCTTTTCTTCCTTTCTTTCCCCATTCCTCCTTCCTGCTGAATATTAAACATAGGGGGAAATTTTATTTACATTTAGACAAGATTTGAGGTAGTCTTGAAGTGGTAGTACAATATAGACTTTATCTTACTAAGATTAGACTTGGGGAACTTAGTGGGTTATGGCGGCACCTGCCCAGAATCCCAGCTGTCAGGAGGCACAATAAGGAGGATTGTTACAAATCTGAGGCCAGGCTGGGTTACAGGGTGAGTTTTAGGTCAGCCTGAACCCTATAGTAAGACTATTTCAATTCCCCTCCCCTTAGTAAACAAAGAAACAAATAATGTAGGAAGTTTGAGGCTAGCCCGTGCTTCTTGAGGCTCTATTCTCTATGTCTCCCCAGAACAGTACTAAAAAGTTCAGAGTGCTAAGTCACAGAAAAAAGTCACTCAAAAACTGTGTCAGCTGCATTTCAATTTAGACTGTCTGATTCAAAAGACCATGATTGAAAAAAAATATTGGAAAGGGTAATGTTTAGAAACATGAGCAAGGTTTTCACTGGAGGGAATTTTGATGAATTAGACTACTTATTGCAGAAGTGCAGACATAGAATGAGACGGTGTCAGGGCGTTGCTGTAGTTGAAAGACCATGCTTGTGCCTAAATGTTGACTTGCCTGCCTTCGGTGGGTCTTTGGAGGAAATCACTCCTGTGTCAGCTTCACTTATGGATGAGAAACAATCATGTGCAGCTCTGTATGGGCAAGAATAGCCATCGAAATAGCGAATACCTGCTTTCACCTGTGCCTTGTGCCTCACAGATGTGAGGTAAATGCTAGGTCAGAGGTTCTCAACCCTCCTAATGCTGTGCCCCTTTAATACAGTTCCTTTTGTTGTGGTGACCCCTGACCATAAAATTGTTTTGGTTGCTACTGTTATGAATCGTCATATAAATATCTGCATTTTCCCATTTGGTTTGGAGGCACGACCCACAGGTTGAGAGACACTGTTCTGGGTCCCTTTTCTCTTTCCTTTTTGTGTGTATATATCTCTTCTTTCACTAAATGGGGGACTGGAGAGGTGGCTCAGCAGTCAAGAGCACTTGTTGCTCTTGTACAGGACCTGAATTTAGTTCCAAATCCCCATCAGGCAGATCACAGCTGCCTGTAACTCCAACTGCAGAGGGTCTGATGCTCTCTCTTCTGGCTTCCTTGGACCCCTAGCATGCATTCACACAGATGCTTATTGATGGGGGAGGTCCTTCTGTGTATATGTTTATCTTATTGGTTGTTGAATAAAGTACTGTTGGCCCATAGGAAAGCAAGATAGGTGGGACTAGGTGTCATGGAGGATTCTGGGAAATGTAGTAAAAGGAAGTCTTGTGATACATAGCAGGCAGACTCATATGTAAGCAAGGGCAAGAAGGAAGTCATCCCTTTTTCTCTTACTCCTGTTCTCTGCTCTGGAGCTGCCACGTGATTCTGGCAAGAGAAGACGCCAGCTGCTGGCGTCCAATAAGATAAGTCTTTATGATAGATACTTAAGACTGAGCTAGCAGATGAGAAATCCTAGTCATTGGCCAAGCAGCATTTGTACCTAATATAAGTCTCTGTGTGTTACTTGGGACCTTAACATGGTGGCAGGCAGAACTTGGGAGGCCTGGTGGAAAGCTCCCACATGGCAGCAGGGATGGAGTGGCTTGGCGGAAAGGTTTATCATTATAACATATACACAAATAAAGCTAAAAATGACTAAATAAGGCATTTTATCTACATAATAGTAGTCCTTTTTGGCTTTCTTCTCTCCCACAGTTTTAAACACCTCCATGGATGCTGCATTTGATCACATTATAATGAATTCTGCACTTTTGTTCCACATACAGTTATTGAAGAGGGTGTTATCTCTATTACCTCCCACTTCATTCTTAATACTTACTTCACATTATAATGAATTCTGCACTTTTGTTCCACATACAGTTATTGAAGAAGGTAAAAGCCGCTTTAAATGAATGAAATGTTTGCACATCAACTTCCTAATAGAAAATATTGCCCTTCATGTAGTCAATAAAAGGGACCTATTCTTTACCATACCTCTATGCCAAGGTGATAATCTTTAATTATATGGAGCTTCATTCAGAGTCCTGGCATTTTCAGGGTTAGAAGAGACCTCACAGTCTCATTCATATTGGTAAAAGTAAAGAGAATCTTAGAGAATAGGTTCTTTGACCAGCGGAATAGACCAAAGTGGAGCTCAGAGACCAAAACCACATTTCCAAGGTCCTAGTGGTTCCTGTCTTCACCCTACTGTGGAGTATTTATGTCCCTATTAAGCCTAAGGTGGCAGTAGGGGTAGTGGTGGGGCTCCTAGGTACCATACTGGGAGGCTCTGGGTTCAGTTAGTGTAGAACATTGGCTGTGCCTCCTGACACAATAGCATTGTTCCTACAGTTATTTGGAATCCTGGTATCTACAAGCATAACATCGTCTCCTGTATCACTTAACTGTAAATTTTGAGTGTGAATTTTAAAAGCTGTTCCCAAGATCTATACATAAAGACTTGCCCATGTTTGGCTTGACTGCTTTTTAAAATACCGTCTCTTGAAAATTCGAGGGTACCTGTTAGGCAAGTTTGCCAGTGTGGACTTATTCCTAAGAAATTTCTCTAAATTTACAGGGAGCCTTACTCCTCCTCGACTTGGATTGTGTGAAGTGTCTTATATATTAAGTGAACATAAACACTCTTGTACCAGTACAGGCTGACTAGTATAGTTTTCCAAATCGTAATTAAAACTATGTTTAAAAATCCATAGCTGAAGAATGTGCCAATCATTTCTAGTTTGTGATGTGTCTTCTGCTTAATTTTTTGAAGGTTTTTCTTCTTCTTCTTTTTTTTTTTGCAGCCTATAATCATTTCTAGTTTGTGATGTGTCTTCTGCTTAATTTTTTGAAGGTTTTTTTTCTTCTTCTTTTTTTTGCAGCCTATTCTTGAAGGCAATGGCTGTCTAGTCCTTGGCAGTGAACTGCTTGCTTCATAATTAAGACTTTCCCCTTCTTGTCACTTTTCTAGTTCAGTGCTTCCGAGTGTGGGAACAAGAAGTTCTGTGTTAGGAGTCCTTTGAACTGTGACCCAGAGAGTGAGCCTGCCTGTGTCTTCTTGTCCTTCACCCGAGATGACCAGACGGTGATGGTTGAGATGAGTGGTCCCAGCGAAGGCTACCTGTCATTTGCATTTTCTCATGACAGATGGATGGTTTGTATCTATTGCTTACATTTGGGATGACAGCAGGAGATTAACATTGAAAGTAGATTGGCTTTGTCTTCCAGATCTAAGGGTAGAATGGGAAAGGAAAATACTTAAGAACAGATCCAAATCTCAGTGGCTGTTTCATGATTTCAAGAGTTAGGCAGTAATTTCTAAGAGCAGGTCAGCTGGGAAGACCCTTTGCCATCTTATGTCCCTGTCTCTTTGTGAAAAAGCAGGAATCACAGGCAAAAGAAATGTCTGCATAAAATGTCATGTTTGTAATGCTCTTCAGAGTATTGTTTAGTCAGGTACCAGAACTAAAACTGGTGTCCCTGCTGTTGGCCCCCATCTTCCAGTCATCAAGTTTCCCACTGACGTATGCAGTGTATGTGCAGTTGGTGTGTTCTGACTGCTCCTTTATCTGATGTCTGGAAGGCAGCATATTTTTTTCCTTGTTCTTTCTCTTCCTGGGAGGGGGTAGCTGGATGGATTTAGGGATTTTGTAGGTGGAGCTTTGTGCTGCTGGGGAAAATGCTCCAGAAGCATCCAGTTTCCGAAGGACAGGAAAGAGGACCCTTGGCAAATGTAAGTCCTTTTCGTGGAGGATTGGCAGTGAGCAGAGTGGATGACCACCGTGTGACTTCCTCATTAGGAAAGGCAAAGTCTTTGGAGACTTTTCTTCATGTTAGGTTTAAACTTGACATCCATCCCCCTTTTAGGGAACCATAGTTCCAAAAAAAAAAAAAACAGGTTTAAACTTGACATCCATCCCCCTTTTAGGGAACCATAGTTCCAAAAACAAAAACAAAAACAAAAACAAAAACAAAATAAAACTGAGCAAAAACAACTCTGACATGGATGTTCAAGAAGAACCAAGATTTATTCCAAAATGCAAGAATTCCACCCAGGTTGTTGGCACAGGCTCTTCATCCCAGCATTCAGGAGATTAAGGCAGGAGAATCAGGAGTTGAGGTCAAGGCAGATTTTAGGCCTGCAGTATGGGGTTGTGAAGCCGCACCTCAAAACACATAGAACAATAGTGACAGAACAACACACTACCTCATGCACTTTCAAAAGGAAGGCATTTTCAACCTTTTCTCTTCAGAGTTACTTTTATGGGAAGCTTTATACATTTTTATGCACCATAATGCTGTAATTGTGCAAAATATTTCCCCTGCTTTCTCTCTGTAATTACCATCAGACCTGCAGCTTATTCTTTTGGGTGTTCTCAGTACTAGCAAAATGAATCAAATTTGTTGCCTGAGATGAATAATGAGGTTGAGTTAAGAGTCAAATGTGACTCTAAAGCAATAAGGAAAGGTGGTGGTAATGCTTGTTTTGCGAATGGGATGGAATTGGCTGTGAAACAAATTCTGAAGAGGAGTCCAGATAGGATTAAAAGGCCTTGTTGGATAAACACATAATTTCTTTAAGCTGGCTCTCTGGGGCACTGCTTTCATTTACATATGTCAGTTATGTATTATTATGTATGACACATTACATCATATTTATTTATCATTGAAAGATAAAAACAGCTTTATTTCTGTAACTGTATAGTTCAAATTCATGCCCATTTCCTCCTACTGGCCACAGTGAATGGGAAAGAGGGAAGGATTTTGTTGTTGAGTGTGATGGCAGACGTTGTCCCACAGGTAGGTTAGTACTTGTAAATTGTAGGCAAGGAGGCACAAAAGCATTTATCTCTAATTTGAGATATTTTTATCTCACTTAGAAATCTTACCTATTTCTCTTATAGTGCTCATCAAAAGTGTTTATAAAAAGATTTAATTATGCAGGTGCAGCTGGTTTACAGAGAGATTCTGCTTAATGATTAAAATCAGTTGTACACCTGGTTGCCTAAATTGGTGGAAATGGATCATCTTCAGAATATGCTTTAGAAGTGGTTATTTCTATTTAAGATTGTTATTTTCTAAACTTTAGTGTATTTTTATGAACTTTCTTTTTGATACAGAGTCTCATTATTTATCCGTGGCTAGCCTGGAGCTCTATAGACTAAACTAGTTTCCATACATCTGCTCATTATTTATCCGTGGCTAGCCTGGAGCTCTATAGACTAAACTAGTTTCAAACTCCCATACATCTGTCTGCCTCTGTCTCTTGAGTACTGGGATTAAAGGCCTGTGATACCACATTCAGGGTTCTGTTATTTTTGACTGTATAATATAAGTTGAGATTCTGAAGATATTAGATATTTTAAATGCTGATTGGATAACAACCTAAATTCTACTTAAAAAAAATTGGCTCATAAATTGAGAGCAATTGTTTTCATCCCTGAATGAAAAGTATAATTTTCCAAATTTTTGCTAATAGCATCTTGCTCATTTTTGTATTTTGGTCTTCTCTATGATTTTTATTATATGACATAAAGTCTAACCAGAAAACACATTACTAGCTTCTATCCCCATTTCCCTCTTAAGTAGAAAACAGAGTTAATTTCTCCAACAACACACTCATAATGCAGGTTGCTTCTGTAATCTTCAGCAGTGTGGGAATATCTTATCACACACCAAGCATGCATTGATTTTGCAGCAGACATTCAACCTGGAGATAGTGTCAGATATCCCGGGTTGAGGACTCAGTCCTCAACTGTTTGTACTGTGCTTTTGACTGTAGGGATGACAAACCAGGACTCCTAACACTTCCTCCTGGGGTTGGGCTATTCAACAAATTCAGGGAAATGCTCTTTTCTGTTTTTTATAAATGAAATTTCAAAGGATACCAAAAGGGAGTTGCACATGGCAAAGTGTGTATATGGGAAGTGACAGGACCTTCCATGGCCTCTCAGGGCACACCATCTTTTAAACCCAGGTCCCTTGGAAGAGCAGCCAGTACTCTTAACTGCTGAGCCATCTCTCCAGCCTCTTTCAAGAACTTCAAGTTCTCCAAACCCTGTCCTTTTGTAAATACTTCATCACATAGGCATGGTCAATTGAATCTTTGACCATTGATGACCAACTTAACCTTCAGTACTTTCTACTTTTCAGTATATTAGCGGTGAGGTTAGTTAGGGTCTTAATCCTTTAGTCATGGGGTGTCAGGGGCTTCCAGTCATCAGTCAACCCATTAGCACCCTCTCTCCCCCAAAAACCCATTGGAGAGTCCAGAGGTTTTAGAAGTTATATACTAGGAGCCTGGGGATGAAGACAGAATATGTATCTTTCTGTTTTATACTTGCTGCAAACATAATCTTTCATTGAGCAAACTCTTGGTTATTCCCTGTTCTGACCTCACTTGGGCCCTGGATTGTAGATTTCATTGTTGGCTGGTCTCATGCCAATGATTGTTTTTGGACAACACAAACCAACCCTGTAACTTGAATTTATGATCATTTTCTCTCCTTTTTTTTTTCTTATTCTTGGTGGCCAATAACTGTCTTAAGTCACCTACCATTATTGTTTAATAGCTTTTTGTCAAGCACAGTTTGAGGTACATCATAGGAGTTTTTTTTTTTTTTTTTTTTTTTGGGAAATTTTGGTTT